AGGGACACTCTGGGAGACCCACCCCCAGCCTGAGTAAAATGCAGCCTTCAACCCACTGTCCTGATAAGCAAAAGCCAAGAATGTTGTCCTTTGAATTCTCTTATCCTCGGTCTGGGTGAAGATGGCCTGGTGTTGCCCCGCTGCCTTACCTTCTCCCTGGCCTCTCACAAACGTGCCCAGCCACTTGGAAGAGCCTGACTGGCTTCTATACTTGGCATCCCTTGACCACCACCCCCTCCCAGGAAAAGTGCTGTAAAAAGAAAAAAGGGAGATGTTAGAGAGAAAAGAGGAAATAAAGTCTTTGGAAAGCAGAGAGTTTTACAACAGCCACAGGTTTTATGGAAGCAATTCCGTAATAACCTTCTACCTGCTTGGCTCCTTTCTGCCCCGCCTGCCGCCCACCCCGTTTGGCCTCCTGGATACCCCCTCCCAAGGAGTCAGCCACCACCGCCTTCGAAATCCCTGATGGCTGGGAGTTGGTAAGAAGCTCCCAAGGTCTGCTTGGGCTGCTGACCCCTCCATCCTCCCTTTCACCTCTGACATCCTGGGAGGGAGGTTTGGCAGAAGATTTCGTTACTTTACAATTAAGACCCCCACTCGGGGTGTGGAAGCACCAAAGATTGAACCCATGCGTGCAAATTCGATGTGATCCCTGTTTTGGGGGCCATTTTGTGTAACGGGTGAGAGCGTTCTGGGGACCTTGGTTTCCACTCCCTGGAACAAGTATCCCCACGCCCCACTCTTTGTCAGAGTGGGTCTGGACGCTGGTCCTGGGTCAGAAGAAATACCTGTGGATACTTGGGGACATAGATTTGGGGGCTTTCTGATTTCATTGTAAGCAGTCCTTTTGCATGACCTTTACAGTTAGCAGAAGGCTGTCACACTCAGCTCCTCTGTCCACCTCCTCTCCACCTTTGTGCAGGACACACACATGGCCAGGTACTGGTGCCTCGCCCCCCAGAGGCCTTCACTACCATGAAATAAACATACACCACACACACTGTCCCTGCAGTTTGCATAAGGATATGCAATAACGGATTTCTTCTTTGGACAAAAAAAAAGTCACAAATTGTTATGAGCTCTCCTGGGCCAATTTGAGACATTTCTTTTACTTTCCAGAGTTTTAGAAGAAAGTTGTAATTGAATCCAGATTTAATCATATGCATTTGTTTGAGGATACAATAGATATTCTACTTGATTATCAAATCAAGGGACAGATTTTCAAGTGAAGTTCCCACATCAGCTAATATTTTGTAGCCACAATTCAAGTACTCAAATACACAAATTTTTGCCCTTTCAATACGGGTGTGATGGTTATAAAAATGTACACGTAACCTCTGAGTTATAGATCTTCTTATATGAGCAGAATCGTAAACCCATATCACACACAAAAGTTACATACACATCCACACACACACACGGTAAGATCTTACATACGAACACTCCAGCATGTCCAGTATTACAGTTGGGCAGATTTATTTATTACATAGTCTATACATAGTATAAGTACAACATCTCCCCACACTTGATTCCCCACAAAGAACTATTGATTTAAAATATATTAACAGAATGCACATATCTATTCAAATACAGCATGCCTAAATTTTGAGTTAGCTTATTCATTAAAACAAGCAATTTCTCCCTTTTCCCACTTAATGTTTTTCTGCCTTTTTATCTTTTCTTCTGCTTCATTTCCTTCCCTCCCTCTAGATTTTCTCTCTTCCACAGTATTAACAAGGACCTTTCCAAAAGCCGCCCCAAGGCACAGACACTCACCGGCTGCTTTTGGCCAGAGTCAGCCTCCGCTCTCCTCGCTTCGGGCCTTGCTGGTGGCTGCTCCGGGCCCCATTGTGGCCAGGGGCTGTCGCTTTTCCCTGCCTGCCCTTCCCCAAACTCCCAGCCCCAGTTGTGCTCAGGCGCGACTGCTGTGCAGGAAATGGCAAAAGGCTGCAAGGGCAGGCAAGGTTTCCCTTCTCTCTTCTTTAGGATTGGGGGTGGGGTGGGGAGCAGTTATGCTCTCTCAAGACAAAGTGACCCCCACTGAAGTGACCTTACTGTTATGCATCTTTAGAAACTGGATTCCAGGAGCCATAATCCTTCCCCACCTCATGATGGGTTCCATGTCTGGGGAGAAAATAAGGTGTTGGGAGGGGAGGCTTTCCACAGCTCTCAGAGCACACGGCAAGCCCCCTCTCAGCTGACCCTTTAGTTACTAGTCTGAGGTGGAGCTGAGCTCCAATTTTGGGCAGCAGCACTTTCTAGAAAGCCTGGATGGCCTGAGACTCACTCCTTGGTTCATCTGTAAGCCCACCTGAAGGAGGGCAGTGAGGGCACAGACTCCAGGACTTGGGGGCCAGTCCATTTTCTTCCCCCTGGAGTTACCTCTTCCCAGAAGACTGTGACCTCCAAACTTACCATTTTGAAATTGTTCCTACTCTGTAGCATCTTTGGGATCAAAGCCTAAGCTCTAGTCTCAGAAAGAGGCCTGAGTCCCTCCCCTAGGGACCACCAGGACTCTAGGGACAACTCCTAAGCAACCCACAAGCCAGCACCCTGGCTGCTGGGATGTTTCACCCTTTTAGGGCACAAACGTTCTTCCTCTAATCTCTTTCCTAAATGGAGTGGCCCTCTTGACTTCCCTGTTACAGAGAGAGGGAGCTGGGAAGCCAGGAGCAGGGGGTAGGAACCAGGAGGGTGCTGTCAGAGCGCAGTGCTTGCACTGCCCTGGTCTTCAAAGCCCAGCGCTGTGACTTTTCCATAAATAAAAAAGCCCCAGCCCACAGTCCACATGTCCTTTTGGGCCCTAATTTATATACTACAGAAAATCATACACTCAGCCCGCCATGCTTCATAACACCGTTATTTATGGCTGGGTAGGCTTTTTTTTTTTTTTCCTAAAGAATATATTTATTACAGGTAAAGCTGACAGCAGACTCCATACGTCTGGCAAATCGGGAACAGGTGCTTTGCCTTAACTGTGATTCATTAGCTCTGTGCCCTCTTTCTCGCTGGCCAGGCCGGGGAGCTCTCCGACTTTCCCAAGCGTCCAACTGCTACTTAGAAGAATTTGCACCGGATTCTTGTTTCCCCACTTGGGTCCCATGGAAAAAGCAGCTCTTCACGCTGTTTGGTTCCGGATCTGCCGGGCTGTCGCCCTTGGAGAGCGGGGGTGGAGAAGGAGGGGGCCGGCTGGGCGCCGGCATTGATCTTTAAAAAATCATTTTGAAATCGCCGTAATGTGAAGAAATATGGCGCTTCGCCCTCGTATTTCACACGTAATGACACGAGATAGCTTCATTTGGAAAGAAAAGCGGGTGGGAGTGTTTGTGCGTATGCGGAGGTGATCCGCAGTCTTCCGCATGGCCGAGGGGCACGACCCAAAAGAAGAAACCCCAAGTTAGAATGGCCCCTGCTTTGTTAAAAGGACTGGGCTGGTGTCGAGGCCTGGCTCTGAGGCTCTGAGGACAGCTTGCCTTATAATGGCCTAGGGTGTGGAAACCACGGAGAAAATCAGCCCTGATCCAGGCTTAAGCCCAGACGAACCCAGGCGGAACCAGGTCTCTGGGAGCTGTGCCTCCCCACGCCCCCCACGCCACAGAGGCGGCTGCACTCAGGGAAAAGGGCTGGAGGAGGACCATGGAAGACGATCCAGGAAGCCAGCGCTGGCCCCGGGGGAGTCTCAGCGCATGGCCTCATAGCAGATGCCAATAAAACAGGCTATTTGGAAGCTCCAGCAAGGGGGGCTTGGGGGGGGGATGGCAGAGGGGGATCGAGGGGCTGTGACCGGGCTGTGCTTCTGGTCCACGGGCACCTATTCCTGTCTTGGGAAGTCAGTTCTTGGAAGCCACTTAAAAGAAGTGGCAATCTCCAATGAGAGGAGTGGAGAGGTGAGCTGAAAACTGCCCTAGGCCCCATTCTCTGGGGGTGGGGGGGGTGGAGATACCTTGGGACCCTCTCCCAGGCCACTGCTCCAGTGACATCTCAGAAAGTCCAGTCTTTCTCATGGTCAGCTCCACCAACTGGGCAATTTTAGGGGCCAAGGTGGTCACTCAATTGAGAAAGGAAGAAATGGTCCGTCCCCCCTGCCCAGTCCCCCTGGCCAGGGCCAGAGAGAGGCCCAGGAAATGCAAAGGAGTCTTTGGTTACTTGTATTAAACTCTTCTGAGGCTCAAGTTTCCCGGGCCTGAAGAATCACTTTAACCTCAGGCCGGTTCCCATATCAGGCGTGGATCCTCGGACACCCACTCCCGGAGGGCTCAGGGGACCCACTGAGAACCCAGGGCTATAAACTTCCCAAAACAATGCACAGAGAACCCCTCCAAAGCTGGTAACGTCCCATCAAATCCCAACTTGTCCCGTGCCCTGCACTTCTCCAGTGGCTTGTTGCTGTTGTTTAATAAACATCTTCTGTCAAGGGGACGGAAGAGAGGAAACGAGGGCCTGCGAGGTGGACGGGGAGGGGGCGGACAGGGGGGGACAGTCACCTTCTCTTTAATGATCCCTTCGGGCTTCTGGAGCTGCTCCCTGGGCTGGGGCTCCCTCCCTCCCTCCCTCCTGACCCGCCTGGGGAGAGGTGCCGCAGCCGCTGTCCCTCCAGAGGCGGCCCGCTGCTTTCCCTCCGCCTCCCCTCCGCCCCCGCAACCCCACGTCGAGAACTGCCCCCCTTCCTGCAAGGGGGGAGGACCGGGCGGCCGGCGGCTCGGGCTGAGGTTACGTGTTCGCCGGAGCCCTGACGCGATAGCACGTTGCATCAGCATAAAACAATCCATCCTCGATATGGAATGCGGTGCGGACGCATGACAGCGAGAGCGCAGCCCCCTCGCCCGATTGATTTATGTCGGAGCTGACGCTTTATCAGGCAGTCGGAAAAACTTTGACCAATCATTTTGCAAGAAGCGCTGAGCCGGGCTGCTCCACTGTACTTTGTTGGCTGAGAAGTTGAGCAGGGGGTGGGGGTGGGAGGGTGGGGGGCCGGGGGGTCGCGTCCGAAAGCCCTCATACCGGTCCGGGTGCCACCTCTCCCTGCTTGGGCGCCGCCGCGCGAGCGCTTCCCTTCCCCCTGCGAGCGCCCGGATAATGTCTGAGAATGTCCATTTCTGGGACGCTTAGCAGCTATTATGTCGACTCCATCATAAGTCACGAGAGTGAGGACGCGCCTCCAGCCAAGTTTCCTTCCGGCCAGTACTCCAGCCCCCGGCAGCCGGGCCACGCGGAGCACCTGGAGTTCCCCTCGTGCAGCTTCCAGCCCAAAGCGCCGGTGTTCGGCGCCTCCTGGGCGCCGCTGAGCCCGCACGCGTCCGGGAGCCTGCCGTCAGTCTACCACCCCTACATCCAGCCCCAGGGCGTCCCGCCGGCCGAGAGCAGGTACCTCCGCACCTGGCTGGAGCCGGCGCCGCGCGGCGAGGCTGCCCCGGGGCAGGGCCAGGCGGCGGTGAAGGCGGAGCCGCTGCTGGGCGCGCCTGGGGAGCTCCTGAAACAGGGCACGCCCGAGTACAGTTTGGAAACTTCAGCGGGCAGGGAGGCCGTCCTGTCTAATCAAAGACCCGGCTACGGGGACAATAAAATTTGCGAAGGAAGCGAGGACAAAGAGAGGCCGGATCAAAGTAAGTTATAAAAAGTGAGGAAATACCCAGGCCGAGGGCCAGGCTGGGGGGAGGGGAGGGAGAGGCAATAAACTGCGGACAATGTGAAGGGAGCCGCTGGCGGTGACCGGAGAGCGAGCGGGGAGGAGGGAAGAGGAAGGGAGGAGAGAGGCAAGCCAGCTGGGAGCCCCAGAAGGGGAGACTGAGGCCGCAGGAGGAGTACCGCCCGCCCGACCCCAGCTCCGGGAGGCCACTGGGGCGCAGGGACCGACGCGCGGCTCTCTCGCCCTCCCTTCCCCCTTTCTCCCCGAGGCCCGGCTGAAAGCTCAGGGACAGGCCGACGACCGCCTGTCAGCAGAGGAGCTGGCGGGGGCCGGGGCCGTCTGCCCGCGAGGCCGAGAGCCCGCACGCGGCTGCCGGGGACCGCGGATGGCAGACCTCCCCGCGCCACGCGCAGACCGTAAAAGCCGGCCGAGGGGAGGGGGCCCGTTAGGATTTTATTTGCTATGCAACAGCTTGGCCGAGGCTTGTTCTTCGCAGACCTCGCGCAAGAGCCGCGCGGGGTCTCGGGCGGGCGCCGGGAGGGCGGGGGAAGCCCGGGACAAGGCGGCCGAGCCCCCGCCCGGAGGCCCCGGACCCTCCCCGGCGGCCTTCGCTCCGGTGCTCCCCTCCCCTCACCGACATCTTCGCCCCGGGCTGCTGCTGCCTTGTCGGCGGCCCCTGCTGCTCCCCAGCGGGACTCCCTAGCCCCAGCCGGAGCTGTCCGCCTTGCGGGGGACTCGGGAATCGCTTCTGAACTTCGGGACCGACCGCCCAAAAGGAGAAGGCGAGATCCCGAAGGGACCCTGGGGAGCGGAGAGATGGGGGGAAGCAAGGCTTTGCGGAGAGGCGGGGAACTTTACCCTCTGTTGGTAGTTGCTCGTCAGCTCCCACTGCCCCCAAAGCACCCCTGGCCAGGACCCCCAGTCTGACCAATTTCCAGGAGGTGGTGCTCGTTGGCAGTGGGGGGAGGGTTCCTCGGGAATTTTTTTTTTTTTTTTTTTTTTTAAGGTTAAGGAGGGCGAATCCATTAGGAGGTGCTTAGCCCCAAACAATAACCCGCAGGCTGGCAGGGACAAGTCCTCACTCCTTCCTGTTCTCAGGGAATGGGGTCAGATATTTTAGTCTCTGCTTACCCTGCCGGATTTTCCACCAACACAGTGGCCAACAGGGCCCCTTTGGGCCGCCATCACCTGCTGGAGGGTAAGGGTGCTGCCTCCATCCCCTGAGGCCCCTGCAGGTTGCAGCAACTCCAACCTGCCAGGTTGACTCCCAAGAGCTAGTGTTTGGGGTTAAGGGCTCATTTCAACCCTCCTCACACACTGGAACAGACCCCACACTTCAAACCCCAAACTCTGCCTGGAAAGCCCATTACTGCAAGGCAACCGTTTGGCCAGGATCAATTATTAAGAGTTTTTTTCCCTCTTTCATATTTAATGTGGCTGTGGGTCCCATCCCAGGCAAGCACATTAAGGGAATAGCGCTGCAAATTGGTAAGACACAGTACTTAATGTAGGATGGACCAGTTTTTTTTTTTTTTTTTTTTAAATCGGTGCTTCCCAAATGGGAAGAAGGAAGCTAGCAGAGGGTGGTTGTTATTATCAATTGGCTTGGCTTCTAATTGGAGAAATTTCTGAGTTCCAGGGAGAGGGAGAAGGTAAGGTGAGAAGAAGCTGATCTAGATTATCTACCTCCTCTTTCTTCCATTCCTATGCTCAGTTTCCCCTTCTCTGCTGTCCCACTTGGGGCCAGTTACCCCCACGTAATCCCTGGCTTCTCACCTTGAGATTGGAGCAGTCTTGCTCCCCAATTTCCCTGAACTGGTGTTAACCAAACTGCGAGCTGGGCAGGAGCGGAAAAGGAAAAGACTATTGCAACCATAAGTTATCTGTGAGCTCCCGGCGCTTCCCTGTCCATAGGCTGGAGTTGATAAATGGTTGCAATTGGCTTGCATGTGAATTGGAGTGTGCTGGGTGTTTGCGTCTCTAAGTGTGGACCTATATATGCGGGGTGTGTGTGGTGGTGGTGGTGGGGAGGGGTGTCTACACAGACACACATGTCTGCTGACATGTGGCCAAGGGAAGCAAGCTTGTGCTCAACGCAGGATTGTGTTCAGACTGGAGAGCTGGGAGCTCTCTTGGCTGTGGCTGAAAAGAAGCACTCTCCCAAGCCCTCCTCTCACCTTCCAGATCTGGAGCCAGGACCCTTTAGGTCAGCCCTTAGCCAGTCTGGTGGTGCTGGTTGTGGGGCTTCCTGCTGGATCTGATCTGAGTCCTGACCAGTCTGAATCCAGTTTGAGAAAAAGACTGAGAGAGAACTTGAGGCCAGCAAGGCTTGGCAGTGCCCAGAAGCCCTGGGCACACATTTGGCTCCATACTCTCCAAAAAGCCTCTCACCTGGAGATGTCTAGGCAGCTGCTGGCTCATGTCTGGGACCCTTTCTGGGAGCTTGAAGGCCCAGGTGCACCTTTCTCCAGTGTGAGATAGGGAACGGAGACCAGGAAGGAGCACACCCTCTTGAAAGTACAACACTGGGGGCCCTTCATCCCCACTTCATTTCTTTGATTCTGTCGCTGCTTTTCTTTCAGCCAACCCCTCTGCCAACTGGCTGCACGCTCGCTCTTCCCGGAAAAAGCGCTGTCCCTACACCAAATACCAGACGCTGGAGCTAGAGAAGGAGTTTCTGTTCAATATGTACCTCACCAGGGACCGTAGGCACGAAGTGGCCAGACTCCTCAATCTGAGTGAGAGACAAGTCAAAATCTGGTTTCAGAACCGACGGATGAAAATGAAGAAAATGAATAAGGAACAGGGCAAAGAGTAAAGATTTCCCCCGCTCTCTCACCCCTTCCCCATCTCACTCTTATTTATAAGTGATGGCTGCAAGGCCAGTGCTGTCTGGGATGTAGTCAAGTGAATGGGGAAGGGGTTCTTTCTCTTCAAAGTCCTTTTCTGCACCCAGAGTCTCTCCTTTCCTTTGTCTTCACCTGTTTCTCTTTTCCCCTGGGCTCAGGAGGAAGTTTTGTTGAGTTAGAAAGATAGAAGTAGTTGGTTACTAAGAAGGTGATGGCCATAAGGAAAGAGAGGCCCTAACCAAGCCCTGAGCATCCCCCTACTTTTCCTTGGGATCCCCAGCCCCTCAATTCCTGCCTGCCTGTTCCCTTCCTGCACCTATCCTAAAATCACCCAGGGACACTCCAACTACACACAACCTAACAGACACCTGCATACACAAAGCCTGGAGCCCACAGTCATAACGGAGAATGCACATAGGTGACATTTCACTCAAATGAAGTGATATCCCAAATGCAGACTGTCACATCCCAAGCCTGGTGCCCCCGAAACCTGAAAGAACAGGCCACAGGCCACCAGACAAGCCAGCATGCAAGTGCTCGCCAGGAAAATGTCTAGAGACACCCTGAATGGGGTGGTGCTGCCCAAAGGGCTGAGCATCGCAATACCACCTCCATGGAATACCTATCTCCAGGGCCACGGCCCACAGGTGTGTGGGCAAACCCAGCCCTCAAGCCAGGTGGACAAGGAAAGGCAGGGGGTGGATTTTCCCCCAACACACGCTGGTGCAGGAAATGTTTAATTCTGCATGACCCTTCCCTCTCCTTCTTACAAAAGGAGGTCACACCGTGGGTTGTGGAACCTTGACCATATCATCCTCTGGCTCATCCATGCCCCACTTCACAGAGACCAGAGCTCCTCCTGCTCTCCACCGGCCCTGCGACCTTCCACATCCTCCCCAGCTCCGAATTCACTCTGTGCGGCCCAATCCACCTAGCACCAGCCCGTTGAGCCACCCCTTGTAGCAAATCCCTTCACCCTCCACACCCGCTAGCTCAGTCCCGCTATAGGCAGGAAGGCCAGGGCAGGAGAGTCCACTGAGAATTTACTGTAAATCGATTCCCGAGCTCCCTTCCCGCGGAAGTTGTCCGGAACAGAATGGAGCAACGCCGCCAGCGCGTGGAGCATGGCGCGGTCCTCCCCAGCCCACTCGGGTCGCGAACCACGCGGAGGAGTCCAGGGCTCAGCGGCCTCCCGCTCCAGCGCAGGACGGGAACAGCCCCAATGCCGAGCTTTGCCTCCCGCGACTCGGGGCCCGGAGCTCGGTTGCGCGGCTAGTGAGCGCGCTCCCTACCAGGGGACAGTCCCGCGTGCAAAGGAAAGAGGCAGAATAGAACCCAAGGCCCAGGCCGACGTTTGCTCTGCTGGCCTTCGTCCGCCTCTGCCCTGCCTCGCCTATCCCCTCCAATTCCTTGGACTCTCTCTCCTGCGTCTCCAGGCATTTCAGTAGAACTTTTCGCTTTGTCGGTGGCTGTCGTGAAATTGTGCTTGTGTTTTGTGATTTCTTTGGGGGTGATTGTCTGGCCTGTTTTCAGTTGTCGCTAATTTGGGAGGGGTGGGGGTGGGGTAGATGTGGGTAGGGTGGGGGACCTAGAGCTCTCATTGTTCGTTTTGGAAGAAAAACAAAAAAGAAAACAAAAAAATATATATCACTCTAGAAATAAATCTCTCCTCGTGTCGTATTCTCTGTTGGCTCTCCCGACCTAGCCCAGATTGAGACACTGACTACCAGGAAGGCAGCTTGGAAAAGAGGGGGGCTTCCTCCTTAGCTGTGGCAGGGCGGGCCTCCCCCAAGCAGAGAGCCGGTTCTGAGACCCACTGTCCCAGACTTACAGCCCAAAGACTACTGCCTACACTAACAGGCTTCCAACCAACCGGTCAGCTGGGAAAAGCTGCGGTTTGGAGAAGGGTCTGGGTCTGGTGTGAGCAATGGTGTCTTCCCCAAAATTGTGCTGGGACTTCCCCACTGACTCCAGACTGGAGTATAGGATCTGGTCCTGGGAGCACTTCTCTGTCAGCCAGCTGAGAACATCATCTTGGCTTGGTCCCTTTATAATGCCAGGCAAGCAAGAAAGACACAGACTTCTCTTTGCTATTCCCAGCCAGGGGTGGCTATCTGTAGACAGAGGCCTGAGGAGGGCTGGCCTCTCTTTCTTCTGCTCAAAGGAAGTGACCTCGGGGGTTCTCAGCCTGTACTTGAGGGTGGATCCTCCAATGTGAACCTTGGGCTGAGGCGGGTTGATCTGGTAGGAGCTGAGGCCTGGGAAGGAAGTTGCAGAGGTAGGGAGAGCGGATTGGGTGAGGAACAGAAACGTCTCAGGAGAAAAAGCCCCTTTTTCAATCTGACCCCAGAATTAAACTCAATTTCCAGAGGTGCTTTTCTGTCCCTCTCAGCCTCTGTGTCCCCGCCAGAGCCCCTGATGGAGTCTGTGGCTTCTCCTCAGCCCTGCTTCCCACCCGGGAGTTGGGATTCCGCCTCTGGCGCCTGGCGCTCCCGAGCGAGCCTCCCCCCCACCCACCCACCCACCCCAGCCTCTCACCGGGTCACCCCAGCGTCGTCGCAGCCCGCAGAGAGACTGCGGGTTGGGTGCAGGTGGGGACAAAGCATGGCCCAAGAGAAAGAACCTTAGAAATGAGAAAGCAAGGCCCACCCCCCTGGAACGAAAGGATGCACTGATCAAAGAGCAGGAGGCCAGAGAAAGCGAAGCTCGCGGGTAAGACCAACCCTTGGACCCGCACCTTCCCAGAAGGGTTCCTTTAGGGACATGAAATGAATCCCGCATTAGCGGTTGTGTAGACGAGGCTCTCTGCTCAGCCCAGGCTCCCCGGGCTCAGCTGGCGGTGAGAGTGAGCAGAGAAGGCTGGATTCCGCCTAAAGGAAACGCAAAAAGCGGGCCTGAGACCGGACGCAGCGCTGCGGGGTAGGGGACGAGAGCGCCCGCGGGGGCCTCCGGCGGCGGCGGCGGCGTATGGGTCGCGAGCCTGGGGTGGTTTCTTTAAAGGCAAACAAAGGCGAAGATGCGGAGGTTCCAAAGCCGGGGCTGGGAAATCAGTTGTAATAAAAGAGAGATTCACAGAGAGCCCGCGAGAGCGTGAGACGGAGAGAAACCGGGAGACGAATCCAATGCCGTGTGCGCAGCAATAAAAGAATATGACCGCTATAAAAGTTTATAGCGTATAAATTTCTGAAGGTTAAGAAACTAAACAGCAGCAAAGCAAACAGTGAGAGGGGAAACTTTCCGGAGCTGAGAGCCGCAGCTGGGCCTGGGCTCTGGGCCTGCCAGGGACAGGGTGGCCCGGCCGCCCCCATGCTCCCCCGCCCTGGCTGCGGGGCTCGGGGCTTCCGGGGGACACGGGGGTACCCAGAGGGAAAAGGGTAGGGAATACACTTTTGTTGTCTCCAGTGCTTCCGAGAGATTCAGACTGCAGTTGGGACTCCTATCTTTGTTATTCACACCCCCACAAGAATCGGACGTCTCAAACGAGAAGCCCCCCATAGCGGGCGAGCGGGCGCGCACACACATACACACACACACACACACAGACACAGAGGTCCGGCGGGGCCAGACGTCTGGGCGCGGGCAGCCTCTTGATCCTTTTACAGTCCCATCCCACCCTCTCAGACCTCTACTCCCCACAAAAAGCGCAATTGTTTCTCCTAGAAATTTGAAACAATTGTGTGAGGTTTGAAAAATGCTCGTTTCCCCCTTTTACGGGCCATAAATGGCGCTCTGCCTGGCGGCCTCAGCCAGAAATTAGGGGATTGGGGGGTGGGGCCGTAAGTAGGAAAGAAAAAAGCTTAGGGCTTCTTTTTTCCTCCCTCCCCCCTTCTTCTTCTTCTTCTTCTTCTTCTTCTTCTTCTTCTTCTTCTTTTAGCTTATCGGCAAAATTTCATGAACCGTTTCTTGATTCCGATGTCTTTTCTCCCGCTCTCGTTTCCCTCCCCCTTTTGTGCTAATAATGAAAGTTTCTCTGGCTTGTCGCGTCCGCCGCTTGGTCTCTGGAACCTGGCTGAGCCGGTGGCAGCTGCTCCTTATCGCAGGGCGACCGCTAGATGGCACCCTTGCTCCACGTGAAAATTCCCGCTACGGCCGCTGCGGGCGCCTGCGGCTGCACACCGCACCTTGGTCTCCCCGGGATCTATGAACTCCGCGCTACCAAAAGTCATGAATAATTTGCGCCTAATAAAAATATAGGGTTCATTATGGCCGTTTTCCCCATTTTATAGATTTCAGGTATAAGAATGTATCCCCCATCTCCTCGGTCTGTTCTCTGAATTTCCCCGCAAGGAGAGCTCAGTGCTCATCCAGTTGTTCTATTCGGTGGGGCAACAAATGCATGAAAACGGGGAATCGTAATAACGGTGGGACTAATGGATCCAAATAAAAGAGAAGAATTGATTCCTAA